CATTATATTTGCCATTATGGAATCCTTAAGACAAGTTGAATAATATTAGGAAAAACAAGCATCCCTAACAGAATTTCTTTAATTACCATAGTTCTAGTATTTTACGATTTATAATAATATTTGGTATTGGTTTTATAGAATTTTGTCTTTATTACTTTAAGAGGTTTCCTTCAATTTATATTTTACTTAGAGTTTACATTACAATAAGACTGCCAAAGTTTGTCAAATGTCTTTTCAGCATTTAATTATAAGATCATAATGCTTTTCTCTTTCAATGTAATAATCTAAAGAATTACGTTGACAGATTTCCTCATAAGGGAATACCTGGAATAAATTCTATTTATTCTATTTCCTGTACACTGTTTTAAAAATAAACTGGTGTATCAATGAAATGTGCTATTATTTAGATATGAGGTAATATTTTTAAAAGAAATTTTGCATGTGTAGTCCCAAATAAGATTAGAACATAATTTAGTTTTCCTTCTTTATTTCTTTTTGGGTGCTGACTTAATACATTTGGAGTTTCATTCATGCGGTAGTAATAATATGAATTAGGGAAATTTTTGGTTCTATGGTCAAAAATAGTGTAAATAAAATAGGAATTATGCATTCTTCAAAAATAAGATACAACTCAGTTGTGAAATCATCATGTCTATATCCCTTTTTAGGGAATATACACTTTGATTTTACTTTTCCAATCTCTTCTTCATTGCTATCAAGTTTTTCTCTTTCTCCTGAAAAAATCCTGGCAACGTTTATTTTGCTAGAATGTGATTCATTTGCTCTAGGTTTTCAAATTTATTGCACTAACATTACAGGTAGTAATGTTTTTCTACAGGTAGTAATCATTTTTATAATCTTTTCTGTGTTTTTGGTTGTGTATCCTTTCTCGTTTCTTATACAATTTTGCCCTCTTTTCCTTAATAAATGTTATAGGAAGTTCTTTTTTTTGTAGTTTGTTTTGAAGGACCTGCCGTAAGAAAGTATTTCCTGATCCTTCTTATTTACATCCACTTAATGAGTTTTAGCTTTTACATTTCACAATTTTTCTATATTCTTTTATTTTGTTTTGAACTGGGTTTTTTAATAATGGAAGAATTTATAGTTATAAATGTTTATCTGATACAGCTTTTGCTGTGTTCTATAGGTCTTAGTACATTTTCTAGAGTTTCTGACTCTAATTTTCCAGTGAGTTTTCATTTCTTTGTACCAAGCATTATCTAAAAATATGGTAGTTAGTTTTCAGGTGATTAAGATTTATAAGTCACATTTCAAATTTTTATTTCTAATTTTATTGGCTCAATATCAAAAGAAGTGCCCTATAAAACCTCCACTTGAATATTTTTGCTAAGGTGTTATGTGATGCCAAATATTTTTAAAATGTTTTACAGACATTAAAAAGTTTTTCAATTAATAAACATGAGATTTTTTTATATATCTGTTATCAAGTTTTTATTGCATTATTCAACTTCTCTATTTTCTCATTTATTTTTTTTTATAAGCCACATTGTTATTAAAGACTTTTCTTCTATTCCAAGCTTTAGTTATCCTAGCAAAAATAGTCTGTTGTCTACTTGGAATTCTTCAGGTGACCCTTGAAATTATCGCATTATTTTTGTCCTTTCAAATACTCTTGACAAAAGAGTCATGGGGGGATGGGGGCAGGAAACAAAGGGCAAAAGACTACAGATAGCATCACATCAAAGGTCTGTGAGAGATTGTCCTATTCTGGTTTCTTCACTCAGGACTAGTTTTTTCCTTCAGTTCACATACAAAATCTCCTTCAAGTTTCCTTACTGCCCTCTTCTGATCAATGATATGATAAACAAGGTATTCATATATAGCTATTTACATGTCCAGCCACACCATGTATTCTTGAACACAGACCATTTCCTTTTAAAGAAACTATGCCGCTTTCCTTAAATTATAACATTAAAAATACATTAAAACAAGTTAGTGATGATTTTTGTTCATTTGGTAATCATTGTTTTCTTAATGGAAATGAAATCCAACCATGTTTAGTAAAATCAAGTTTGAAAAATATTATATTAACAATAATCACAAAAAAACTGACAATATCAGTTACATTCATATCAAACCAAAAATTAGAAACTTCTTAAAAATATTAAAACACACTTATTAAACTAAAGTGTCTACCTCTGCATATTGTAAGTGATCTGCTAAGATCCAGCATTAATTACTCCTAATGATTCCAGGCTTTTCATGCAGACTTATTGGAACTTATTGGTCCCAACTTTTATTGCCCTGCAAGGTTACTATAATTTGGGTACCAGTAAGTGATGCTAGATTGTGAGATGGCTTCTATTTAATCTAAGGTAAAGTATTTATGCTGATCATAATGAGGTATGACAACCATATTTGACTAATCTACAAAGAAGAGTATGTCATTACAATAGTCATGGGAAAAACCACCCAATTAATTAGTAGCAAATTGGAATGATTGCTTTGGACGTTTTCCAAGGGAGAAAGTACTGCTGGTGCTTTTGCTTCAAAGACAAGGCAGACCAAACTTCCGTAGTTCTCTTGGGTGGAGAAACATTTTATTTTCCATCCTTGAATTTTATATGACAGAGTCGCATCCACAACAGAGGCAGAATTGCAGGACAGAGAAACTGAGATGTTTGTGTTAAAAGGATGAGTCTGGTAATCTGTCATGATCATGAGATTGGAGGGCACTCTTTTGGTGTTTCCTCTACCTGTAAATAGTAACAGAAATATGATAACGTTGTAATCTATACAATGTTTTCATGTATAACTCATTGGATCTTGCAACAATCTCCATTTTATAGTGAGGAAATTGAGGTCCTGGAATGTCAAACAATAGATTCATGCTAGAGCTAGCCTCCACCACAGATCTAATGGCAAGTCAGTCTCTTACTCTACATCACTGCCAGCGCAGCAGCAGTGTACCTCACTCTGTTCCCATATGTTAACTGGAGTAGAAACAAGAGAGAACTTAGCCATGGCAAAAATTTAACCTTTGCCTAAGCTCACTTATTTCTTTCAATGCCTAACCTCCTATTAGGAGAAAATGGAACCAATGGGTTTTAAGGTAAAAGGTCTCTTGAAATACTAAACAATCGAGCAACTGTTTCTTCCCCATTAGATTGGGGGATGCTGGTGAAGAATATGAGAATTATGTCTTTATTATATGCCCATGCTGAATTCCTTCCCAATTGTGGAGGGAACCTGGCCCTCTTGTTTTATCTGAAATACCACAAAGTCGTATTTCATTTGAAAAATTAGGTAATCTTTTACCAAATCAAATTTCCTACAGCATTTCTTGGTTCTTGCTGTAGCACTTTTAAAGTCTAGTTCCTTAATCATGTTCTCAAATACCATTTAAATATAGAAAACATAAAAGAAAAAAAAAACAGAAAACAAAATACCACTACAACAAAACCACTCCCAAAACCTGTTATATTATGTGGCCCATTTACCTCTGTTCTGTTGTGTCAAAATCCTGAATTTCAATGAGAAGAAAAGATGGATTGGTTTTGTTTTCTAGTCGCTAGAAGAGGAGTTGAGATGTCAGTAGAAAAGTACCTCTCTCCATCACCAGAGGAAGCTAATCAAGGAAAAATGTCTATGGGTAGTAGATACATTAATCTCCCCCTGGATCAAGGGGCTGTTATGAGCTGTAACTAATTGTATCGTTGTGACTCATCTTGGTTTGTAACAACACGCTCCACAGTGACATCAGCAGTTGTATGAGATGGATGTTGCATGTAAAGGAAAAAGTTCTGTTTAGCTGGAGTATCTACAAGCCTGTAGGTGACACAGTGACCATCTGCAGTGAATGCAGCTACTGTATTTCCACAGTAACACATTTGTCATATCCTGTCATCAGTGTGTTTCTGAAACTTGCTCAAACAGTCAACATGGGGCAATTTCAGGTTATTATAACAACTTGACCTCTGTGGGTATCTAGTCAGGTCCACTTTTGTGCTGAGTTCAGATGCTCAGGAAATTATTTTTAGAAGAATCCTAAAATATTTCAGTGACAACGTTAGTTCAGATACAAACTTTTGGTTTGTAGAACAAGTTCTTCCAATAACATTTTCTGTACAGAAGGAAAGGTGAACTGTGATCTCTTGCTACATTGGAAATGCATACATTCTGATTGGCTACTCAGTTATCTATGAGCCGATGATTGGCACAGTGGCAGAACAACCAGGCTGGAGTAGTGTCAGAAGGCCTGTGGCTGGCCGGGGCCTTGTCATGAACTCTGTGACTGCCAGGAACAGAATGCCTCCGAGCTTCAAACGAGGGAGTGAAACTCTTTAAGATCCCCTCCTACTCTAAAACTGTAACTTTTTTAAAGCTACCTATTCAAGACCTTTTTTTTTAATGCTTCTTTTCGAGTAAGTTGGAAAATCTTTAAGACGCAACAACTGAGGGTATAATTTTTTTAAACTTATTTTGAATTTTTAAATTTAAAAATAATTTTAAAACTATTTTTTAAGTTAAACAATTAAATGTTTTAAATTTAAAAAGTGTCATTTAGAAATTTTTTTTAAAAAGGAAAATAACAGAAAATGCCTGTTAGAAGAATACTAGTTAGATGTATACTCATATACCATGTGCCTGGTATACAATAAGTACTGACAGTGAGAAAGAAATTACTCAGAATTTCCTGATAGCAAAAGCAAAAGGGGAAATAATGGATTATATTTCCACTGTCTAATTTTATTTCAAAGGAACTGCATACACTTTTCTAGAGAAATGAGCATTTCCTGAAAATAAATACTTCTAGACTGATATATACCCCTATGTTAACTGAAACATTTTCAAAATGACACTGATATGTAAAAGAGAAATACACTTTAGTAAGACAAGCCATCCTGTATAAGCAATTTCTACGTCTAATAGTCAGAACAATATAGAGAGCATTTACGCATCTGCTGTGTTATGCTTTTCTTTTTCTCAGTGGTAAAGACTATTGCCATATTTTTAATGTCTCTAATTTTATTTTTCAGAATGACAAATCCCCGGGACGATCTGCAAGCCGATCGAGTAATATTTCAAAAGTAGGTGAATTTTATGTATTTTCTTAATTGTTTATTAATTTCCATATTTTATGAGTTCATGTAAATATTTTATAATGTTTAACCTATAGATACCTATGAACAATGCACAAATATGACTTGTTAATGGTTTTAACTATTTCAAGCTTTTGCTGTGACAAAACGACACAGTTTTACACAACAAAATGAGTTAACTTATTTTTTCCTCTTTAGTGCTTACGCAAAAGATAATTTGCTACTTTCATAGGGTCATGCAAAGTATGTTTTTTTCCCCTCTTACTTCAAGCATCATAGTGCTGCCACATACTCAAGTTGAAACTGTAACGTTCATGATACAATTTCTATGAATTTAATTTTTCAGGACTTTAGACTCAACAATGCTAGAATTTATTCTTGTCACCAGAGCAGGTTTTAGAAATCAGTTTATGACATATGACATTTGTTTGGTCATATTTACTTTAGAATCAATAAAAAAACAAAACAAAACAACAACAACAACAACAACAAAAATCCTCCCTAGACTGACTATAAGTCCAAACAAGAAATCAGAGTGTTGAAAATTTTGGGCCTGGGAGAGATAGATACTCTAGGTTTTGCCTCAAAAATGAAAATTAAGAGCTATTCTCTAGAATGAGGCACAATACAATGTATAGACTTGGTGTTTGGGGAGTAGAAAGTCATTTAGAGCCATTTGTCAAATTGGAAATTTATGACTTCCAAAAATATAATTCAGACAAAGATGTATTTACCACGAATAGAGCTTCTATTATAGGGCCCCTCACTTGCCAGCACCTTTCCACAGCTTTGAACTTAATTTTATATGTGTAATTTTGACTTTTTTCCTTAAAGAGAGCTGCCAAAATAAACTTTAGGCACTACGGAACCTAGATCCACTCCAATTTAAGGAGGGTTTTTTGTGTGTTTTATTTTGTTTTGTTTTCAGAAAGAAAAGACTTTATTCCTTATTGAAAAAATAGCAGTAACCAGAAGATCAGCATTTTCTTAAGCTGGTTTCCCGGAGGCCACTTCTTCTAAGAAAATGCCAAGATGGTCAGGTGACACCTGCAAACACACTGGGTTGATTATAGGAGCAGAACTCTACACTTAGGAAACCCTAATATTTTTTTTTATTTTTATTTTTTATTTTTTTTAAAGGTAAAAGTTTTATTTACTGAAATGTGAGAAAAAAACACTACACACAAATTGTATGTACTATTGCTAAGAGTACTTGGGGGCTTGCCTTCATCTACATGTTTATTTGCAAAAAAACTGGAAATACGCTCCCTATGGGTCCACTTAATGTGAGATGCAATTCTCTATGGGCCTCTTGCATCACTGCATGCCTTGCAAGCAGAAGCATTGACTGCTTGTATTCTGGAATATCGTTTTAAAGATGTTTGTATAGTGGATGGCATTGCAACATAAAGATATGCAATAGACCCATAGAGGATTGGATCTCAATACATGGTACTGAACATGTCTAATTACATTCAAATCCGGGGACTTGCATAGATATTTGAGAGTCAGTGTGGCTAGTGATTCAGAGTACTAACGCTGGAGAGGGAGCATCTTAGTGCAAGTCTTTTTACTTCTGTAACCTTGAGACATTCGCTTACCCTTCCTCAGACACAGTTGCCTCCTGTGTGACATGAGGATGATGATATCAGTCACCTGAGGGACGTTTTCCTAAATGTTGTAAATTAAAACACTACCGTTCAAACGTCTATCATCTCAGTCGCCCCATGAAGAGCCTTGTCGGCAGCTGCAGGACGCTGTCTTCTTCTGAACTTGAATGTTAATGTTGACCCAGAAACTTGTGAAGGTTACTGACAACTCCTTTGTCACACCAAATACATTGTTTCCCTATCCAGGGGTGAACATTCTATCTGAATTTCCAAACTGCTGTGTGAGTTTGACATAATGCAGCTTGTTTATAACATTTTAGCCTTTATAATTTATTCTCTGAAAAGTGAAAAAGTCAGGGGTGTAGTTTCCCTTCTGTGAGTTCTTCTTCTTCTTCCAGGCTCTGATATATACTCATTGTGCATCACTGTGTGGAAGACGGTTAATGATAAAAATGCATTCTATTAAGGCAGAAATGAAAAGCTCTCTTCTTAAACAATATCTCTAATTATACAATAGCAAAAATCAACTATCTCACATCTGTAGGGATAAAAAGATTTTAGCGTGCATACATTTATTTTATTTAAATCAATATAACTTTCCTCTTATTTATGTTCAGAATGACAGTCACAAAAGCTAAATATATTGTTGAGTCCTTACTACTTTTTCATGAATTATTAAGTGATAAATTCTTCACTAAGACCATATAACTTACAAAGATGAAATGGCAAAATCTAGCAATGTGGCAGTCCTTTTAAAGTGGTGTAGAAAAAAATATTAAAATGAAACAGGATGTTTTTCCTCTAATTTTGTCAAAATAATTTTTATGGGAGGGGAAGGGATGAGACAACATAAATTGGTAACTATAATACGGCCTCAGGGATAGAAAAGACAGTCTGGGGAATATAATCAATAATGTTGTACAGATTTTTTAGGGGGCCAGATGGACTCATGTCTTGTTAGGGAGACCACTTCATGGACGGTGTAGAGGCCTGACCACTGCATTGTATATCTGAAGCTGCTGTTGAATAATATTATATGTCAACTATAATTTAATACATATATAGTTATGGGATGTGGAGTATAGTGTGGGAATGGAGTCAATGGAATTGTAATAGATATTTATGATATTGGGGGTGTGGAGGCAATGGATGGGGAGAGGGGGGTTGTCACTTTGTGAGGGGTGAAAAGGATAATTATTGCTTTGTTTTGTACATCTGAAAATAATAATAATAATAATAATAATAATAATTTTTTATGTCAAAAAAAGACTGAGCTTTTCAGGGATGTGATAATCAGTATAACGGTAATTAAGAATGTGGATTCTAGAGTAACTGCTCGGGAGGGTTATTTAACTTCTTTAGTAACTTTATGTGTAAAAGGGGAATATATAACAGTATCTACCTCTCAGAGTGGTACATAGAACATTATATTATTATACAATAATAAATTATTTTAGGTCAGTAGCAGTATTACTTATAATGGGTGTATTCCTTATCTTTATCAAGTCTGTGCTGTCCCCAATCCTTTGATACAAGAAAATCACAGATAATTATAGAGGACTCCATCCAGGATGGGATAGCAGAAATGTCCTTCTTGAGTCTGATTTCCTGCCCATTTCTTGCTCGTCCTTACTGAAACTACAGACCCTTTAGTCATCATTTGTGAAATGTCTCCATCAGGAATCTTATTCTATACTGGAAATGATAGAGTAATGAAAAAAAAAAATCCCTTCCTAGTCCCCTGTGAGTTTATAGTGAAGAAGTTGAAACACAAAATATAACATAACATAACATAACATAACATAACATAACATAACATAACATAACATAACAATTAAGTAGAACTGTATAACTCCCTGTGCAAAAAAGATACCAAGCAAGCCTGACACTCTTATCCTTGGAAAGGACTGCTGACAGGTTGGCCCTTGGCTGGCATCTGAGAGCTTAAATTTCAGAAGTTGAGTACCTCCCTAATTTATAAGAATGGTTTACTATGCCTAAACTGTGCAAACCATGTGGTTTATCTAAATACCTGCTTTCCTATGGGAGTCTGGAATTTTGGTACATGCTAGGTAGTGGCACCTACGTGACCAGCCCCCAGTAAAAACTTTGGGCACTGAATCTCTGAGTTTCCCTGGTAGACAGCACTTCACATTGTTGTCCAACTCACTGCTGAATGAATTAAGCACATCCTGTGTGACTCCACTAGGTGTAAAATTTGGGAATGTTGGAAGTTTGCTCTTGGTTTCCTCTGGACTTCACACCATGTCCCTTTTCTCTTTACTGATTTTCCTTTGTATCCTTTCACTATAACAAATCATAGCCCTGAGTATGACTATGATCTCAGTCCTGTGAGCTGTGATTCAGAAAATCACTGAAGCTGGGCAGAGTCTTAGGAAGCTCTGATGCATTAGCCAAAAAAGTATAGACAGAAGGCTATGGGAGTTCAGAGAATGGTCACTTTCATTTGGTGAAGAAAGAGTGACATCAAAGAAGATGTCTTGGAAGAATGATATGTCAATGGGGACTTAAAGAATATACGTGACTTGATATAACAGTCAGGAAAGCATGTTTAAAGGGATATAAGTACAAGACATGGAAGCTGGAAAACATGAATTATAAGGAAAGAGGTACATAAAAGTTTTTAGGGCCTTTGACATGGAACTTTGATAGTAGGATACATTCTCTTTAGTCTAGTCATACAAATGTTACCTGGCTTGGGAACAAAGGGATGGATTTGGGAACCATCAAGATTCTTGAGACTTTTTCAAATAAATATGTGTGCTATTGAATATTATTATTTCTGCTACTCAGGACTGTATAAGCATGATGTTGCTGTTGTGAATAAGAAATATCTAAGCCTAGGGATAAATAACAAATACTGAATTATTAGTGATCATTAAAAATGTTCTCCTTAGTCTTTGCCTTTGAATCTTTGTACCATATATTATTCAACTGCAATTATACTTTGAGTTTTCTAGTCATTCCAACTTTTAATTTTTTATTAGTTTATATTTCTAGTTTGTTTTAGGAACATATAAGACAGATAGTACTGTGACTCTTTTTTTTTTATTATTCTAATAAGATCTGTGGGCCTTGGATATCTTAAAGTTGACCCAAAAGCTACAAAAAGCTACATAGGTTTAAAACAAAGCAATGTATGTGAGATTGTCAAAATATCTCCATGTGAACATGGCAGCATTCATTTATCCGTCACTTACTTTTTTTTTTTTTGAAAGCTACTTTTGATAGTAGTGCTTGTTGCTGCTTTTTTAACACACAAATTGCTCACAAATAGGTTCCTTAAGATGTAAAATTAGCCAAATTTGGCCTTCCTTTTATTTCTTCTTGGGTGAGGGATCATTACATTCAAGTAGC